AAAATTACCATTTTGGTGAATAATTTATTTATTTCTCATATTTACACCAAAATATAATTAAGGTAATATTTTGCATATTTTTACAAATTTATTTGGTATTTAAAAGCTAAAATGCATGTAATTGCAATTATAGCCTATTTTACAATTAACAACATTTCATAATTATTAAATTATTTTCAATATTTTTAAATTAATACTTATACCTTTTTAATTAGTTAAGTGCTTTTAATTTATTTTAAAAATTATTTTAACTATTTTATATAAAATAAAAAGGGAAAACTGGCTATTTAATATTTAGTCTCATTTCATTGCAATTATAGCCCATTCGGATTTCAATTTTTGCCCTCAATTTACCCAGTCCTAACCCCAATTGGACCGACCCATATTTTCAATTAATCAACCCGGCCCAGCTCCGATTTAATCTGAGCCGTTGATCAAATGANCCTCATTTCCGAGACGGTCTCTCTCTCTCTATATATATTGACTCTCCCTCTCCTTTCTCTCTATAACCTTCTAGTTCTCTTATTCTCCGATGAACCCACCGCCTCTCCGGCTACCTCCAACCTCACCTATTTCGATCATCAGTCACCGTGACTTCTTACGTAGTTGATTCCCTCTATCTTTGAGACCCCAAGATCCTCCACCATGCGAGATGGTCACTGAAAGCTTTGCCTAGTTCGTCTCCGGCCGTCCTCCGATGGGTTTTGTTCGATGGTGCTATGAACACCATTATTGCTGAGTTTCATAGCCAGGTTTCTCTCACTTCTTACTGGTTTCTTATGAAACCCTAATATGTACCCAACCTTTTAAATCTCTATAGTTTTTACGATTTTTTTAACTCACACCTTGGTATTTTACACTATTCTCTACTCGATCTTCACGATTTTTCAAATTTTAAAACGTTTTGTTCCCTTTTTGAAACTAGGGTTTCTGGACCCCTTTTCAAAATCACTTTATTTTCTAATTTTGAGTACTGACTCATGATTCTCAGTACTATTTTTCAAACGTTTGACTTAAGTTTGATGAAACCCTAACTTTGTATGATTGTGTTTGCATTATTTGCATGTTTGTGTGTTCTTCTGGGTTCTTCTCCGATTTCCATGCTCTTTGCTTTAATCTCGTTGTTAGTGTTTCATTCCCTTACCATTCTGTGTTCTTCGCTTAAAGCTTCTCTGATTTCTTACACAAGGATTTTATACTGATTATCTGAGCCCTCTTTGAGAATGTGATACTTGCTTTGAAATTGTGATTCTGCGTATTTTCCCTATAGTTTGAATTTCTTCCTTAAATTGTGGGATACTCTCCTCGATTAATACCGATTTCCTAGGTCTTCAATCTCGTTCATTATTTTGAAAATTATTTTCCTGAATTACAGTGGTATTTTGCCCTATATATGTGCACAAATTTGTTGATTGATTTGCCTGACCTATTTCCCTAATTAGAGTGTCATGTACCTAGTCTTTATTGAATACTATATGTTACTCTGTTTCTTTATGTGATTATACCCTACTTTGTGATTTCTTTCCTTTTAAATGATTGATTTTTACCGTTTGATTTGGATTCCTTAATTAAAGGGAAGTCCATATACTAATTTAATTATGATTGATGCCAGTTCCTTAATTAAGGGACTGCTCCTTAATTAAGGGACTGCTGCCTTATTGATTACTCGTATTCAGTACTATAAATACTCCCCATTCTCTTTTGCAAACAGACAACAGTCTTCTGACTTACACACACCACTGAATACTTTCAAAATCTGCATTCTCTCTTGCTCTCTTGCTCTTTTGCTCTATTGTTGTTCTCTGCTCCTGCTTATTATCAGCCGGCTGAAAGCCAAGGCCAATATAGTGTTACTACTTTGTCTTTGTATCCTGCTTTTGCTCTTTTACTGGTATGTCTTCTATTTGATTTACAGTTTCCAAAACAACATGTTTTTGTGTGTATTACACTTCCTCTTGTTTCTTTTATGCTTCTACTTATGGTTCTGCTGTTCTCATTTCAACTAGCATGCCTCTATGTAAGTTCATTGATGAGACTATCTTTCCTTTAATTCAGCATGCCTACTGCTTCCCTTATTTGTTTAATGCATGTTCTTCCTTACCCCTAACCCCAGTACATTATCAGCATGTAACCCTGAACCCATTTTGGGATGAATTATGTTGTGACTGTTTAAGTTCTGAAATGCTTTTCTCTGATGTCTATGTATGTGCAATTGTGCTCTTACATGTGAACTACTTGTCCCCATGTCCCCTATCCCCTGTTTGTGTTTGTTTCCCTGAACTATGTGTGATATTTTTGTTCTGAGATTGTCTTACTCATCTTCTTACAAAAACTGTCACACTCTTCTATTGTTTTTCTTTCAAGAACTGATTCTATATGAATCATTTTTAAAACTGTTTTCTCCTCCCAACTAAATTTCTTAAAAAACTCTATCACACACTCTCACTACTCTTAGAAAATAGGTTCTGCGCCCTTTCGTGTAAGCATTGCTTTGGGTATTTCTGTATACCCACTGAACTTTGATGCACAAGCCTGGTAATTCCGCACTGCATTTGTCTGACATTTTTTGGCAAATGTTTGGGTGCTGGTATTGGCTAGGGACCCAATGAGAGGCAAGAACTTGAATGTGTTGATGTTTTGGATAGTGTAGCTGCTACAGGTGATAAGACAATGCTTGAACAAGCTGAGAACTATCCAAATAGTCCATCTGATCAGGCCAATGCTGAGCTTATTCTAGGGTACGATGTCGCTAGTGAAGTGCAAAATACACTATTTTCTAATAAAGCAGGTACACAAGAAAGTCTGGTGAAAATATGATTGTAAGGATGGATGGGAATCGCTTGCTATGGTTACACTGATGGACAGAGAAGAATAGATTTGTAACACAGAATCAACAGAACTAATGAACGTGCAAGGGTTTGAGGAAGTGGCTAGATCAATATGTCTTGAAAGAGGATTTACTCCATTTTCTTCTCATATTTTTGTTACAAACAAACTACAAGATGTAGTAGTACATGTGGAACCCACACCACTTATGTTAATTTACTGAGTTAACTTGGCCAAATACTGTTATGATAGATTTTACTGCAAACGTCGGAACAGAACAACAAGAGGAAAATAGGAAGCATCTTCGGACAACAAAATTTACTAACTAGTCCCAACTTAAGTAATTGCAATTGATATATAGTTATCGTTAATGTCAGATTTGAAAAGGGAAGTATATCACTAAACATTTGAAAATGGACCAAATAATACAGATATCAAAAGGAAATAGAGAGTGAAAGTATCGAAAGTTGAAATTTTGGTGTTGCCAAACTATTCTTGTTAGACATTAATTAAGCTTGAGAACTAGTTTCCAGAAATTACTCATTTGTAGAGCCGTTTTCTACCGTGTAAGAGTTGATCTTATTTCTATTATATGGTCGTACTCTGGGCAGGAAAAACTTTGTAGCATGCTAAAGATGTATTGAAGAATTGGCCTAATGTGGATGTGGTGAAACTTCAAAAGTCCAGTGGTGTTGCATCAAGGAATGCAAAAGTACGGTAGAAAGCAAGGGGCTACAGAATATAGGTACAGATTTCCTTATAGATTAGTAATAAAGAGAGTTAGGAGTTAGTCACACTCACAGTTCATGCACTGGAACATGAACACTTGCTTTAAGGTCCATTTTTAAATGTTTCCTGATATACTTCCCTCTTCTCCAGTTCTCAAACTTTTTATTCTTCTTCTTTCTATGTTTCCTTAAGGGCCAATCACTACAATATGGCTAAAGGAAAATTAGCTTTAGTTGAAATGGTGGTGTTTCTTTTGATTTTGCATCAACAGTATGTATTGTGAACGCCACCAATTACAAGGGAGAAGAAGAAGTTGACAGACTAATATCTTTGCCAAGTCAACCGAAGGCAGAAAAGCTTTCAGTTAGCTTTTCTGATATAAAGGGACGTAAGTGCTCAAAATATCTTGGATTTACCCATCAAGGAGATTGAAACATCTATATGATGCAATCATATCACGCTACCTAGATAATATATGATGCTTTTAACCCGACGCTAACATGCTTTTATATTTTTCAAAACCTGATGCTTTCATATTTCAGTTAGTTTCACAGGTAAAAAGTATCTTTAGTACACCAAATGTAAATAGTGTTCCAATACATACAGTGAAGCTTATAAGTCCTCCGAAATAATCATTAGTCCCATTGCCTACTGAAACAGAGGAAAAAGTTAACAACAATCTTTTGTGTTTAATAGTTGCTCCTACTTCAATCTAAAAATAGTGGTCAGGTGCAGTAGTCCATTTTCCTACTGTATAAAACCAATTCAAGATAAGTAGTGTTTTAGAAACATGGAGAGTGAACATAAATATTTCACCTTTAGTTCAGAAATATTTACCTCAGTGCCACCAGCAGAACTATTCAACTCATTAGATTGCTCATCATGTGCTTGATATTCAAAGAAGTTTCAACTATCCATTAACTGCTCAATATAAGGCTGGGCTGCAGAGTGGTTTTGACCATCCATCAACTGCTCAATATAAGGTCGCACATCTTCATCATCATCTTGTTCAATTATCAGTCGCTTACGACCTCTAGTTTGCATAGTTCCTTCTCTAAAATAAAGAAATTATCTAGTTGTATTAAGTTATACTAGTACCAGATTAAATCCAACAGATCAACAAGTCATATACAAAGCAAGAGGAAACATCATCCTTATCTCAAGATGTGAAAAAAATTAGCGATTCATGCATACAAACACAACATTGTAATAAATATTGTTTTAGATATAAGAGTTATTGATTAACTACGAAAACATTATCCCGTGACAATACTACCTTATCATATCACAATTTAATGGATACAATAAGCAATATAAGGTAAAAAAAAGCACAACGAATTCACTCAAAAATCCAATATTTGAATTTGTGAAGTAAAAAAATAACTAAACCTTAGAAGTTCTTAAATAACACTTGAAAGAAAAATATTCTATAAGTTCCAACTATCTTATGTAGAATCACATTCATTTTCAATGTCATTTCCTCCCTCAACATTAGCTTCACCATCATTTAGAGAAGCTTGAGAATGTGCGTTTGTATCAATAACAATCCCACCGACACCACTTCTTACCCAATCATTATACTCATCTTCGAGAACATGAGCATTTTCTAAGAGAGCCAAGTCAGTGGCATCATTCTGTATTGATGACTCAAACTGCAAACTATTTTCCTCTCCCATATTAAAAATATCTCGAGGTTTAATTAACCTAGGGACAAACCATTCATGATCTTGAGCATCTTGTACAAATATTACTTGTTGAGCTTGTTCTGCAAAAATAAAGGGCTCATGACGTTCTCAAATGCCAGAGTCTGTTAGGTGTGAGAAATTTACATGTATGAAACCCAAGTCATCTTCCTTAACTCCTCTACCTTTAGTTACATCAACCCAATCACACTTAAATAAGACAACCTTAAATTTTTCATAGTAGTTTAACTCCACAATATCATTCAATCTGCCATAATATGTGATATTTGCAGACTTTGGAGCATTGTCACGTGTACTTGCATAACTTTTAGTCTTTGAAACGACCATAACACCACTATTTTGCGTCACTTTGAATTCTTCACTTTGTTTCGTTCAAAGTCGATACCCGTTATTTACATCGAATGCAGTGAATCTTTTTGCAATGTAACTCGGCCCTTGTGCAAGGACTTTAACATCTTTTAAGATCTTAGATGTGGCTTCCAACTCATTTACCTAACCAAATAGAAGATACAACTATAAATGTGGATATCTGTACAAGGACAATAATTTAACATAACCAATGACTTAGTCCTACTACTTACTTGCTCCTTGAACCACTTATGAAATGTATCGAAATGCACACAGTCAAGTTGATGTTGTGTCACACGACGCTTACGATGTGATCTCTTGATTTCAGCAATATGTTCCCTATTCATGTAACTCGCACATATCAATTTTTTAATTAAATAAGTAATATAAATATATTAAATAATAAATATAACACTTACTTTTTATAATTCTCAACCACTTCTGACTCACAATTGAAAATGTCGATATGCTTGCAGCCATGTTTTCTCATCCAACTCAAATACATCTACTCCACCGTACGGCTCCCCAACAATTGGAAAAAGACATTCTTCTTTACTATTCTCATGCTCAATCCCATCACCGCATTTTTTTGAACAATAAGACCTTGAATCTCCACCCTCCAAATATCGTGAACAAAATACCATACACTCATTTGCTGTGTATGCTTCTGCTATTGAACCTTCTGGACATGCACGATTACGAACATATGATTTTAAAGTACCCAAGAACCTATGAAATAAAATAATGGTATTAGTTTGATGTCATAATATTTAACAACTAAAGATATATGATAAAGATTCAGTAATATTCTTGATACCTCTCAATTGGATACATCCAGCGATAATGTACCGGCCCCGCATGTTTAGCCTCGGTTGCCAAGTGAATAACCAAGTATATTATAACAGTAAAAAATCCTGGGAGGAAACGTTTCTCCATAGTAGACAATGTTTCTGGAATATTTTCTTCAAGTAACTTTAACTCTTCTAGTTTTAGTTCTTTGCTACACAGAACACGAAAGAATGTGCATAGTTCAATTAAAATGGAACTAACTCTTTTATCTACTGATCTCCGCAAGGCAAGAGGAAGAAGTTCTTGCATTATAACATGACAATCATGAGTGTTTAGCCCAGATATTTTTCGTTTGAGAAAGCAACGTGAGATATTAGACGCATAGCCATCTGGAAACTTGGCATTTTGTAGAACTTCATAAAATAACTCCTTTTCATTCGGAGACATTGTGAAAAACGTAGCTAGAAGATATGCTCTCCTACTAGCTCGATATTGAGGCCATAAACTTGGCCTTATTTTCATCTCCTTCAAGTCCAATCGAGCTTCTAAGTTGTCTTTAGACTTTTTACCAAGATCCAATAATGTATAAATTAAGTTATCACTCACATTCTTTTCTATGTGCATCACATCAAGATTATGGCGCACCAAGTTTGACTTCTAATAAGGAAGATCGAAAAAATACTCCTTTTTTCCATGTGTTTTTCATGACCCCACTTACCCCTTCGCTTGACTGGCAGAGAGTAAATTTTATATCTTTAACTTGATTCAGCACTAGTAACCCAGATACTGGACATGGTGCAGGCCTTGATTCTTTAGTCCCGTCAAATGATTTTGCATCATTCCGATATTTGTGTCCCGACTTCAAGAAGCGTCGATGCCCCATGTAACAAAACTTTCTCCCATGTCTGAGCCTTCTAGATTGAGTGTTTATGTTACAAGAAGGGCATGCAAACCGACTGTAAGTGCACCATCCAGAGAGAGTACCATATGCTGGAAAATCATTTATAGTCCACATGAGAGCTGCTCGCATTAGAAATATATCCTTAGTAGATGCATAGTATGTTTCTACCCTAACATCCTATAATTCATTCAACTCTTCTATTAAAGGTTGCAAAAAGATATCAATATTATTGCCAGGTGCTTTTGGTCCAGGAATAAGTAACGACAGTATGAAGAACCCTTGTTTCATGCACATCCATGGTGGACGATTATATGGCATTAAAATCACTAGCCATGTACTGTGAACAGTTCACATTGTGCCAAATGGATTAAACCCATCAGAAGCTAATCCTAGGTGCACATTGCGTGGATTTCCAGCAAATTTGGGATATTTACTATCAAAATTTTTTCCAGGCTTCAGAATCTGCAGGATGTCGTAGAACTCCATCTTTGTTGCGCTCTTCATGATCCCATCACATTGTTTTAGATGTTTCTGAAGACATAAACAATCTCTGAAGTCTTGGTTTTAAAGGAAAATACCTTAGGACCTTGGCTGGAATTTTTCTAGCATTATTATTCCATCTAGAAGCCCCACAAATTTTGCATTCATTGACATTCTTATTAGCGAACTCTTTCCTAAAAATCATGCAATCGTTGGGACAAGCATGAAGTGTTTCATACTTTAAGCCCAAGACTTCAACTATCTTTTTGGTCTCATAGAAAGAATGAGGTAAGTTTTCTCCTTCAGGCAATGCATCTTTCAAAATTCCAAGCAGAGCATTAAAAGATTCATTTGACCACTTGAACATGCATTTTGTGCGATACATATGCAGCAAAAAGGACAGTTTGCTAAACTTCTTACATCAAGGATATAATTCTTCATTTGTCTCCTTCATGAGCCGTTCAAACTTATCCACCTCTTGATGGGGGTGATTTCCAGATGGATGAGTCGTACTCTCTTGTAAGTTTTGCTCTATGCCACATGTTTCACTAACGTCAGTATCCATGAATTGTGTAATACCTCCAAATGCATCATGTATCATTCCTCTCATATCATTACTCCTTTGAGTTGACTGGCTACAGTTATTTGCTCGAGCATTGTTTGATCCATTTAAAGACTCCCCATGACAAAACCAAGTATCATATAATGGTATAATACCATTAATAACAAGATGATCATATGATATAGCCCGATTTACTTGATGGATGAGCACACACTCCGTACAAGGACATGCAATTTTTTCTCCTTCTTGTTTATCAGAAAAGGCATGATTTAAAAAATCATCTACTCCATCTAAATATTCTTTCCTAACTCTATCACAATACATCCATCTTTTATTTCTAGGATTGTCCATGGCGTTAAAGATTGTCATGCCCCGAACTTGGGGGAGCAAGACCGGCACCCGGTGCCTTACCTATCCTTGTGTACCAACTTGCAACTAAGGAACTCTGAACATATGATGTCATACTTTTGGCCATGGGCCACATTGCAAGACGACAACGAATGCTGACTAAATATAAATATAAAGCATGGCCAACAAGGTCGTCATATTTATTACAACTGACAAACCAACCAAATATACATACAAGGCCTGAAAGCCCAACATACTGCACTAACTGACAAGATATGTCTACAAGCCTCTACTAATGGATATACTGTGATCGGAACAGCTATCCGACCTACTCATGGCATATATACGTATATATACAAGATATACATAAGGCTCTAGACCCAAAAACTCCGAAAGGCATGGAGATTACCGATTAAGCTGAGCTCGGGAAACACTTATTGAAGAGGCTTACTCATCTGTCTGTCTGACCTGCACTCATGAAATGCAGCGCCCCCAGAAAAGGGACGTCAGTACGAAATAATGTACTGAGTATGTAAGGCAATATACTGAAAGCTGAAACTGAACTGATAATATAATAACTACAAGTAGCTGGAAGTCAAAGGTAATCTGAAGATATGCTTACCTGCTGATACTGACTCAATTCTCTCAATATAGTAATTAAAATAGTTGTCCGGCCTTATAAGGCTCGGTATACATATATATCTGCTCTGCCGTAGTAGGCTCGCTCATAAGCGCTCGGCCATACTAGGCTCTGTATCTCGACCAACTAGGCTCTCTCATAAGCGCTCGGCCACAGTAGGCTCGGTATATATATAACTGCTCTGCCATAGTAGGATCGCTCATAAGTGCTCGGCCATACTAGGCTCTGTATCTCGACAAACTGGGCTCGCTCATACACGCTCGGCCACAGTGGACTCGGTATATAACTTACCCTCTGATCAGAGGTTGCCCAATAGGGGCCTGCCCATCGATTATAGCTCAATGGTAATGAAAATACTTTTAATACTGTACATATGTAACTTCTCTGCTCTCTTGACTGGAAGAAGAAAATACTCAACTGAATATGAAATCCCGATAAGAAGAATATTGTAACTTACAACACTAGAAAAATATATGCAATTTGCGAGACTAGCAAAATATACGTAAATTATGGGATATGAATGTAATAACGAGATCATGCCAAATGAAAGAAGAGCTTAGCCTTAACATACCTGGAGTGTGGAATATCCGTATGATATTCTTGGAAATATTGCACCGTATTCCCTTAGTATCGCAAAATCACACGTTAACTTAAGATGCTAGGAAATTAAATGCTCCATCGTGTGTTATTTTAATCCATGAAAGAGATATCTAATCGTTCTAACCATTTCCATGTTCTTGTATTAGCATATTGAAGAGCTAGTTGCATCTTCAAGTGACTGAAGTTGGTTGTTGCTGAGATCTAAGACTTGAACCCACAAAAGTTTCTCCATTGACCCAATACGTGAAGTGAGAGATCATTAAGCCATAGACAAAAATTATTGTTTTTTTTGAAGAAGACGGATCCCTATATTTACAGCAGTGCTTTAGAAACAATCCTTGATTGGAGATTATCTGTTTCAGAAGTACAATACTAGAATTTCTAAATTATTAAAATTGATTCCTACTTTACCTATCACAAAGTCACTAATAAAATTAGTGGCCATCAAAGAATTTAGGAATTATAATCTTTGGTGCATGGAATCATGTGTACAAATTTGTTGCCACATTTCAATTTGGGTCATGAGTCATTTTGTTGTTTTTGTATTGGCTTGGAACTAATTATAAATTTTTATCCACTTATTAGTTAACCGGGTAATGTTTCATTACCCGGTAATTAATCTATTACCCGCATAATTTAAAAATTATCATAAATTACTTAAAATTCTATTTATTTTTAAAATACTTCATATATACCTTATATATTATACTACCGTGGTCATATGGTACCTTGCATGGTACTAGTTCATAATTATCGGGTATTATCGCTCGACCCATATTTTATTCCAAATTGGCCACTTCTAACAAAACTTGTTTTCGTTAATCCGTGTACCCCTTTATCCTTCATAATACTTATTTATCGCTTGTTATAAATAGTATAAGTACGTTAACGTTAAAATGATCTCATTCCCGATTCTATGTCGGTTAACTGAAAACGAAATCTTTAACGTACAATACTTCAGGGTGCAACATCGTTGTAACTTAATATTGTGAAATGTGACATCATTGTAATGTAATACTGCGGGACGTGACATCTCACTTCCAGGTTCTCATTAACTTATTTATGGCATATTTTCATGTACAAAAATATGGGGTGTAACATCATTCCCCTCTTTGGAACATTCGTCCTCGAATGTTGCTTGATGCGCTTATCGTTCTCATATCCCATAGCTCTTATGAATACTTTAGTAGTCCTCTTGCCATCTAGGCAACTGTTCTGCGAATAATTCCAAAGGCCAGGGTATTCCCCCCTTTTAGGCCTCTTTCCCATGCCATGACTTGTGATCAAATTCCTTCCAATCTCATAACTGTTGCTACCTCCCATCATGCAGCTTCTACGATACTGACCTTATAAGTGTGCTTATGCGACTCTCCTCTCCTTTTTCTCTAGTTTTTAACCAATCCTGAAGTTCTTCACTTTTTGTCAAACTTACGAATATTGCTATATCTTATTTATCCATTTGTATGACTTTACTGCATCTACATAGGTCATACTATACCATAACTCTTACCTCGACTTCTCATTACTGAGGTCTGCTACCAAATTTCAGGTTACTTTTTTTGCTTATCCCATACGTATAAATCTATGTCCTCTAATGCTTTCACATTACTGTTCATCTTAAGAATGACGGCCTAATCTCTTCTCATACTTTATAACTTTTATCCATCCATTGTTGATTCACCTCAATTTTAATCCATAATCCACCCCTGATAACTTAAACTTTTATGTAATATTGTTGCTAGGATTTACGTTTTATTGGGGAACATCTGAAATGATTAGATTGATCCACCTGGGGTGATACCCTGCTTTCATAACCGTATCTCATGGTATCCTAATGTGATTTAGCTTGCGTGGGTATTTTAATCCTGTCCAATTCATGAGATCCCTTTCTTTTATTCAGCAGATCATTACTCAATCGAAGGCCCAAACGTTATTTTTTTTCTTCTATAATAATTACACCTTCATTCTATTAATAGGGCAACATTCTATTTCTTCTGAATGTTATTAGTCTTAGACTCCTTTGAATTCATTCAGGCTATACTGAACTTTTTATAACTTAGAGAAACCATTAGCTTTCTTGTTTTCATGGGTTTCAATCCCGAGGACTTATCCGTTCTCGTCACCCTTCCACTTGCCTTTCCTCATCCTTATTCATGTTTCATTAAAACTTTGTCGCTCTACTATACTTTAGCTTGGGATCTATACATATCTATTTATTCTATCCGCGGCCTTCCTTCAACTTGCTTGCACCATATATTTTCTTATGTTGTTCTGGAACATCAAGCGAGACATCACATCGTCTCTAACTATCCTTTACTCTCATAATCAGGCTTTTCGATACCTAGACCATAGGCTGGAAGATATGCTACTGACGTCGCTGCTATTATTCCTGGATATTGAACCCCTGTGCTTATAGCCTTCTATCTGAAGTATGGACTATTCACGATCTTCTGCCTTTAGGTATCTCGTACATTGTTCACCTTTACCTTACTTACCTTAAACTCTCGGATCATATCTTCTATCTCTTTCATAACCTCCCTTCCACCTAGGTGTAATTCACATCCATAACTTGAAGCTCTATTATAATACTCGCACCTATGGTGCATACACAATCTGGTGGGAGATTCGTACTGACTTCTTATGATGCTGGTACTTCTTCTAACTGGCTTCCTTGTAGAGACATTATAGATTATGGTCGTTGTGTTATTTCTCTTGAAAGTCTAATATTAAGAGCGATTCTGTCATGTTCTCAAGCACACTTCTATAATTTTTCTAGGTCCAATAATCAGACTCCTGATTTACTTAGGTGATGTAATTCTTTAGTTTCCTCTTCCTTCTGATTAGCCTTTACGTAGG